AGTTTGATATTTTAAAAGCTTATGATATATTCAATTTTCTTTATAAAAAAAATTTCATTTGACAAATTTTATATTATTTAACATGTATTGTAATATAAATTTTACATTATTCAATTACTTCTGCAGATTTATTTACGTTGAAACCGCTTTCTTCTGGAAGTGGTGGTTACGGCAAGATGAAAAGGTACGTGCTGACGTTAAAATGTTAATCAACGAAGGGCGATTGGAAATCATTGGAGGAGCATGGAGCATGAACGACGAAGCTTGCACTCATTATCATTCATTAGTGGATCAGTTTACGTGGGGATTCAGGTATAAATATATAGATTCACACACACATAAATAAAAGCATGTCAATGAGAGTCTCAAAAAACTGACTATAATTGATAATTTACGATATATTAGAGTGATCATCCATATTCTTTTTCTCGAATGTACTCTTTTTTCAAAGGATAATTTCAATGTGTACTACTTTTTGGGATTTGAAAATAAGCGAGGGAGTCGGAAGTTATTAAATTTACTGTGACACTAGCCTAGTTTTCATCGAGGGTTTAATCGGATCAGAATGTAAGAATCAACTAACTACATTTCCCTGTCGTTCGACTGTAACAGAGAATATTCGACTGTAATTAGTTCTTACATTCTGATCTGGTTTAAACTAGGAAACTAGGAGTCATACATGAATTGGGTGACCAGACATCCGATTTTTTCCAGACATGTACTCTTTTTTTTGAAAACGTCCAGCTGAATTTTTAGCATATTCGAATGTACTCATTTTGAGAAAGAGAGAACAAGAGAATCAGAAATTATTAAGCTCATTAAAAATTATTAGGTATTATTATATCATATTAAAGTTATTTTTTTTTGCTAAAGTAAATATGCCGAATAGAGGAAACAGTCCCGATGACTTTGATCTTGACATATATTGTCAAGGTCATGACTCTGAGTAATCTTTAACAAATTTTAGCCGTCATTCACTAAAAAGTTATTAACAAAAAAAATTTGAAAAATTATATTTTATTTCTATTACATTTTTCATCTGAAGTGACTCATTTCCCCCTCTCCCCTGCAAAGAGGCGTATGACTTTCAGCAGAAGCGACTCTCCCCTTTCTCCTCTGCAAAGGAGTACGACTCTCATCCTCCTACAGTACACGAATAGCATTCGACTCTCAACTCCCTACAGTATAAATATATTTTGAAATAATATATATTGAAAAAATATATATTGAATAGCAAATATATTTTAAAGAAGGGAATACTCGTATATAGTTGTATTATGTACTCATGCACTGTAGGGAATAAAAGTTGAAAGTAAGAATCGTGCGCTCTGCAGTGGGGCGGAACCCATTGCATCTACGTACACTTTACAACATAAAGTCTACATGAGTTTATAACTTTCGTTATAGCAGAAATGATATATTATTTTTTCAAACTTTTTTTGTTAATAACTTTTTAACGAATAACGAGCACTGGTTAAAACTTATTGGAGGTTACTCAGAGTCATCGAGGCTGTCTCCTCTATTCGGCATATTTATCTTTGCTAATATTAAATATATGTTTTCATGTTTTTAGGATTTTTAAATGTACTCTTTCTCTTATATTTTTGAGTTCAAATATACAACTTATTTTGTACTATAATTTAACCTAAAATGTCCTCTTTTGTCTTACTTTTGAATCTTAGTACCCTACTTTTGTACTACTTTTCAATCAAAAATGTCCTAGTTTATCTAGATTAGATCTATGGATCATCCTACGATATACTACTTTTCTTATTCATCTGTTATATGATTCTATTGATATATAAAACATAAAATATAATCCAGACAGCACAATTGATCCATTTAAACTCTAAAAAAATATTTATCTTCTTAAATAATTCTTTATGAATTATCATAATTTGAAATAAATTCAAAAAATTTTAAAATATATACAAATATATTTATATACCTTATATATGTTACCTTTAATAAAAGGAAACCTGAAATAATATTTGATGTACATAAAAACTAAATGTGATTTATTAATTCTTATACAAAAATTAAAAAATACAATAATTAGATTAGAAAAAGAATATTTTTCGAATTTGAAAAAGAACTTACAATTGGTGACATAGAAATCTTTTGGAAATCTCAAAAAAACTTTTCGAACAAAATGGAAAAAAACAGGAATTTATTTTATAAATCGGGAATCAAAAAAGAATTTTTTCGGACTTTCTGTCTCGGCAATTTGGGAATTGAAATCTATAAATATTAAAAAATATATAATTTTATAGATATAGTAATATAAATTATATCTCTCAAACATATAAATGTAATATAATGCATCAATATTGAGTATCAATCATAATGTAATTTTTATTTTTATTTTTATTTTCATTGTTTAATTTATTATATGCACAAATATTCCATTTTCTAGGCATTTTATATAAATTTTTATTTAGAATCAGTTTAATTTATATGTTACTGATTCTTGATTTGTATAGGCGACTCAACGACACATTCGGAAGTTGTGCCAGACCACGTATTGGGTGGCAAATAGATCCTTTCGGTCATTCCAGAGAACAAGCTTCTTTATTCGCGCAGATGGGATTTGATGGAATGCTATTTGGTCGTATCGATTATCAGGATAAAGAGAAAAGATTGAATAACAAAATGATGGAATTTATCTGGAAAAGCAGTCCAAATTTAGGTAAAAAAATCTTTGATAATGGTAATGTAATAATTATAAAAGAAAGAAAAATTTAATTGCATTGAAAAAAAATCTAATTTTTAATGAATACAAATAAAATTTAACAAAATGTTTATGTATAATGTTCATATAGAAATTTATTTTATGGATGAAAAATATAGTAATAATAATAATTAAATAAACAAATGATTGTTTTTTAAGACACGATCCAAAAATAATACCAGATTTAGTAGCAATTATATTAAAAAGATTGTCAGCAATATTAAATGACATGTTTGAAAAAGTTTTTATAAAAAAGTATTAGGGTTATTATTATTTTTATAATCAATATAGTAAATTTATATATAAACATTTTATTAAATTTTATTTATATCCATTAAATATTGCAGACTTTTCTTTTTTCAACGCAATTTTTGTTTTTTTCAATAATTGAACATATTCAAAAATAACAGTTGATTAATTTTAACATCTTTCTGTGATGAGACAGCCTATGATGAGAAATAGGTTCTTCTTGCAGACAAAACAAACATATATTACATAATGAATAAAATTATATAATATTAAATTTTATTTCCAGGTAAGCGAGCGGATTTGTTCACGACTGCGATGTTCAACACTTACAGTCCACCACCAGGATTTTGCTTCGATATTTTATGCAACGATGAACCAATAATTGATGACCCTGATAGCCCAGACTACAACATCGACAGAAGGGTATGTAATATCATATCGCAAATGATAGTTATTGACATTACTTCTAAACGATAAACTAACGAGGTCGTCTCAAGCGTTAATTGCAACTAAGGCTTATGCGATGCTTTATTTATTTCTAACCAATTTATTTCCAATTATTTCTAATTACTCAATAGATATTAACAAAATACATTTTTAATAGAAAAAATACAATTGCAATATCAAAAGCAATATAAATATTTAATGGAGAAGAAATTTTGATTTTAATGATAAAACTTAAACGATGAAAGGACTTTCTATTTATTTATAAAAAAAATCCTTTTCTGTGCCTGAGAGTATAATGATATCGATTCTCAAAATATTTTTGAGTGAATTTTTGAATTTTATATTTATAGCGAATAACTATATAAATTTTCAAACTGAAATATCTGTGTAAAAATTTAAAGTTAAAAATCAGAAAGGACTAGTTTGGGTCCTGGCTGAGCACAGCATTGTGACCTAGCTAGAGTATTATAGAGCATAAAAAAAGGATTAAAAAGTTTCATATGCACAACTTTGTTGTGCATGAGGAAAATGAGTCCCTTGAATGCTACAGCTGTTCAAAGGTCGCTGTTATGATCATGTATTGTGTATCATGTAGGATTGGTTTTGTACGATTTCTCGAATCATCTAGTATTTGGAATATGTCCAATTTTGAAGACAATTAAAACCTTTTTTGGAATATGAATAGTTATAAGTGGTATATATTAATCGAATGAAGAAGAGACACTCAAAGTATGAAACAAAAAGTTTTAACTGATTTGACAAAGAGGCTGCGGTTCAATATTTTTAACTGTAATATTTCCATCTCTCATTTCAGAACGTTTTCTTTTATAATGACACCAACAGGCATGACATATATATTTAAATGTGTTGAGTGGAACTACTAGGTTTTTGTTCCAAGAAATCTAGCAAACAAATGTTCTCCAGCCAACAAATGTTTACGCGATTGTAAATATTTTTGTAAATATTTTTCACATTGCCCATAGTGGATCAGTAGCTGCTTCGAAGTGACTCCGTACCAAAGGCTAGTTTATTCTGATTGGTACATTCGCCACTTGTCCATCTTCTCTCCTCCCCCTCCCCCCACCCTCTCCCCAGAACGAATTCCAGGAGCCATCCTAGCAAATCCGATTTCTGTGACATGACGACATGAATCGTGACTAGGGACTTAGTGGGAGTAATGAACTGTACCAAATATATTTTAGATATTACTTCAATGTCTTTGATACAATTCGTTACCGTCATCACCGCGGAGAAGTGCCCTGGACACAGAGAAATTGGATAAGACTAGTGAAACATGGTCATAATAGCGAACTTTGGATAGCTCTAGCACTCAGGAAACCTCTTTTATAAAGTTGGGTTTATGGAATTTTTTATTCTCTTTTGATACCTTAAAATTTTAGGCATGTCTCAAAGTTGTTCATCCGGGGCCCAAATTCCTCTATAAATAATAACTGAATATAGTCCTTTTAATTTAATGAGATTTTCTTGTTAATAAAAAATAATATATTTAAAATACATACATTTTATAATTAAAACATAAAACTATTCAAATTAAAACTGTTTGAAATTATTGCATTTATTTCGTATCCGTTTTTTATTAAAAGAAATATTATAATATTCGATACTTTTTTAATGCACTTGGCGTATATTTTTTTTTAAAGAGGTTTCTTTTAGATTTGTTTTATGCGAAAATCGTAATCTACACAATGTATATATTCTGTGCTAGATCGATGATTTTTTGAGATATGCAGTTACGCAAGCTAGTCATTACCGTACAAAACATATCATATTGACAATGGGAGGAGATTTCACTTATCAGCACGCGGAAATGTACTTCATGAATTTGGACAAGCTGATAAGGTATTAACGCCAAATGCTTAAATTTTACAATTCATATTTTTCTAAATATTCGACGCTTACGAGATAGTAAAAAAGAAAGCAATATTATTGCTTCGCAAAGGACGACATCGCTAGTAAGGCAGAAAGAGAAAAAATCCCGTCTTCGTGCCACGGTAAGTAAAAATTATGTACGATTGGCAGGTAGAGCTGTTCCTGACATATGCGCAGATTCAAGCACGTGCTTACAAAACTAATCATATTATTCTCACTATGGGGGACGATTTTCATTATCAACAGGCTGACATGGTATTCGGTAACTTAGACAAGCTGATCAAGTAAGTCACTATTGATTCAACGAAATGTTTCTGCTAAATTTGACTTTGACAATTACTTAATACCTTTATTGACTTTAAATTTTATTTGAATCTTAGATTATAAGTTTAGAAATAGGTTTTTTATTTGGGATTAAACGGATTTGAAATATCCATAATATAGGACAAGTAAAAAAAATTAATTATATTAATTTTTTAAAAAACGTTATCTCAAAAATTAATATTATTTATAATGGATATTAAAATGTTATTAAAATTGGTAATTATTCAGATTAAGGGACATCTAGCTAACTTGATCTTGACATATGTTGTCATGGCCCTGAGTAACCTCCAGGTTTTAAGTGGCGATCGTCCTTCGTTAAAAGGTTATTAACAAAAAAATTTCAACTGTATAACTGTATAACTGAGAATTCCCTGCTTTAAAATTATATTATATTTGCTATTCGTGTATTGTAGAGGGATAAGAGTCGAAGGTGAAAGTCGTGCGCCCCTTTGCAGGGGGAAGGAGGGAGTGAGAGTCGCTCGTCTGAAATGACCCTCGCCCTCCCTCCTCCTCTACAAAAGAGCGCATGATTTTCACTCAAAACGACTCTGACTCCCCCTGCCTTCTGCAAAAGGGCGCACAACTTTCACCTTCGATTCTCACCCTCTTCTTCCTCTGCAAAAGGGCGCATGATTTTCACTTGAAGCGACTCTCATCGCCCTCCCTCCTATAAAGAGGCGCATGACTTTCAGCTGAAGTGATTCTCATTTTCCTCCCTCCTGCAAAAGGACGCACGACTTTCAGTGGATTCTCAGCCCCTCTTTTCCCTGTGAAGGAGGAAGAGGCGCACGATTCTCATCTTCGACTCTCACCTCCCCTCCCCCTCCCTATAGTACACGAATAGCAAATATATTTTAAAGCAGGGAATACTTGCGTTTGTATATAGTTGTATTATATATAGTTGAGTATATATAATAATCTAACCCTAACCCAACTATGTACCATTTAGAGTTAAGTTATTATATACCATTAAACTTTCCGAATATTTCTGAGTATTTCTGAAATATGTAGTTGAAATAAAGCGTTATTTTTAAAACTTTTTTTGTTAATAACTTTTTAACGAAGGACTGCCACCATCTATCGGAGGTCACTCAGGGCCATGATGATCTTGATAACTTATATCAAGATCAAGATCGTCGGTGGGATATTCTTTAATCTAAGTTGATTACTTTAAAATTTTATTATGAAATTTGTATCTCAATATTTAGAAAGAGAAAATATTAAATATTAAATAATTAACCCTGATAGCAAGCTGTCATTTTGACATCAAAATGACGACAACGTAGCTTGTTAGGAAAGTTAAATAGAAAAGATAAATAACATTTTTTTGTAAAAAGTTATAATATTCTTTTTCAACATTAAATTTATTAAATAAAATTTTATTAAATATAAAAGTGTAAAAATTATTTTTAATAAATGTAATATAATTTTATGTTGATTTCTTAATTTTTAATATACTGTAAACTAACTAACAGTTAATTAAAAACAATAGTAATTAAAGAAGGTAAAGAGAATTATAAATAATATCGAAATGTGTGGAAATGATGGAAAACGCAAATTTTTTTCTAAATTTAAAAAATAAATTGTATGAGATATGAGAAATCATTTCGTTTTTTTTTCTTTAACCACGTTTGTAAATAAATGGATTTTAATTTTGATTTAAGATTTTATATGTAATATTTTGATATTAAATATTTTGCTTTATTATTTGCTTTATTATCTGTTTTAATATTTCAATATTTGTTTTAATTGCTTTTATATTTGCTTTTATATTTGCTGTAATATATTTGTTTTAATATTTGCTATAATTAATTAGTTCGTTAGTTAAATAATAGTCGGATTAGTTTAACTGATCATTGTGAACAAGAGTAAATATGATTTAATGAAGATATATTCTTCATAAAGAGTTTAAAGTTAGAAAAACGATTTCAAAGTATATCAGATTTTAATAATAAAAAAAAAGAGATTAAAGAAATATTATCAGATATTAATATTAGAGTTAGAACACAAAGTTTATGTTATAATTAAGTTAATATTAAGTTAGAAAATTTTGCGAATTTTGTGTCAATATTTTAATTTAAAATAATTCAATTTGAATTTCAATTATTATCGAATCTTAATAAAATAATTTGAAAATATTAACATATTTTATATAATTTGACATTATAAAAATTCTTTTGTAATTTTTTTAGATACACTAATCAGCGCAATGGTTCTGTAGTAAATGTAATTTACTCGACACCCTTATGCTACTTGAAGGCCTTGAACGACTTGAATCTTCAGTGGCCCACTAAGAGCGATGACTTCTTTCCATATGCGAGCGATCCTCACTCTTATTGGACTGGCTATTTTTCATCGAGACCAACCGTGAAATATTTTGAACGTGAAGGGAATAATATGTTGCAAGTAAGATGATCAAAGATAATTAAAATCTTGATCTATCAAATTAAAGTAAGTAATATTTTCAAAATGATAAACTGCTTGTTTTTAGGCAAGCAAACAACTCGTTGTCCTAACAAATTTAAAAAGTTATGACGAATCCTTGGAACATTTTCGCGAAGCAATGGGAGTGATGCAACATCATGATGCCGTCAGCGGTACTGAAAAACAATTTGTCGCGAACGATTATTCTCGTATATTATATGAGAGTATGGATCACGCTGGAGAAATAATTTCGAAAGCTATAGGGTATAAAATATTCTCTACCAATCCATTGAGTAGAATGTCTAAAATTGACTCATGAGACAACTTTAGAATATCTTTAAGAGTTCTTTAAACCTCCCTCCATCTTTAAGATATTTCATAAAAAATTCTAAAAAATATCTTAAAGATGTCTTATGCGTCGATTTTAGATATTCTGCTGGGAAGATTTATCTTAATTTTAATTTTAATTTTTAATGTTAAAGTATAAATAATTACATAGATAAATACGTTCTTATACAGAAAAAACGTATTAGATTTATAATATATACATATATAATATATTAAACTAATAAGGAAAAAAAATATTTTTATTTTAATCGGCCTCTTAATTCAAAAGCTTCCATTTTATATTAAAAAAATACTCCTAAATTTTTATCAAAAAATACTTATTAAGATTTAGAGGTCGCTAGTGAACGATTTTTAAATCAAAGTTTTAATTTTCCTTAATACATGTTTGATTTGATACAAAAAAATGGTTTAAACCGGATTTTAAGTACTGTATATTTTTCGCTAAACATAATGCAATAATTCATTTACTTCTACGATATATGCCTTAAGAAATATAGCCAATTAATATGAAAATATGATTGTAGGTCTGTTCACTCAGAACAAGATCTAGTTGGAATTTTCTCAGTACCTCTTACAGGATTTATAAAAGTTGCATTTAATGGAATTATAAAACGTTTTTAAGGATAGAAAAATTTTTTTTTACAAGTTCTAAAGTTATATATTGTTTTGTGGTTTTGACATCCTCAAATTCAATGCCTCAATTTGACAATAAAAAACTTTATTAGGAAACGAATATATAATAAAAAAAGATATACATAATATATAGTTTATTTCAATTAATTAAATCATTTAAATCGTTTTTTTATATTACTCAAGAAAAAAAATTTTTTCTATCCTTAAAAACTTTTTATAATTCAGTTAAATGCAACTTTTAAAGATTCTGTAGGAAATGCTAGAAAGATTTTAACTAGAGATCTTATTCTGGATGAATATACCTACAAATTGAAGAGAGTAACGACCCATTTGAACTCTTGGAACCTTGCTAAAATTGATCTTAAACTCGAAATTTAGTCATTTTTTAATCGAACTATATTTCTTAAGACGTATATTATAGAGTTAAATGAATTATTGCATTGTGTTCAGCGACCAAAAAAAACATACAGTACCACATTTAAAATCCAGATTAAGCTATTTTTGCATCAAATGAAACATGTATACATATTATATTAATGAAAATCGAAATTTTGATTTAAAAATCGTTCACTAGTGATCTCTAATATTTTTAAATCTTAATATTTTTTAATAAAAATTTAGGAGTGTTTTTTCGGTATGAAATGGAAGTTTTTGAGCTGAGAGACCGATTAAAAAAAAATTTTTTTTTCTTGTCAGTCTAATATATATATATATACATACAAAGGTGTCCGTAAGTTTTGACAAAGCGCTTATGTGTGGATAGAGCGGACTAAACTGAGTCAAAAAGTTCATTTCCTTTTTGCAATTTTCACAATAGTTAACAAGATAAAAAAATATTAATTAATAAATTGTCGCATATTAGTCTTCATTAATTTTTTACTTAAACTAATTTTACTTTACTATTAACTTTACAAAAGAACAGCAAGAGATAAAAATTGTGTGAAAATGTTTATTTTCTTCTCATAGAGCTCTAAGAATTTTTTCAGAATTTTTTATCATCCTTTTTATTGCATTTTCTTATTGGCAATTATTTTTATCAACATAAGAAAATACGGTATAAAAATTTTGAAAAAAAATTCTCAGAACTTTATAAGAAGAAAATAAACAATTTTTGTGTCTTGCTATTTTTCTGTAAAATTGATAGTATTTGAGTAAAAAATTATTGAAAAACAATATTCAGTGAGTTGTAATATCCCCCTTAACTATTACAAAAATTGAAAAATAGTTGACTTTTCGACTCAGTCTGTTCTATCTACATACGAGCGCTTTGTCAAGACTTATCGGACACCCTATATATAAAACATTACAAATCTACTGTTATTTTATAAAATTTTAAAAGCCAATTTTTTTGTCAATGTTTATAAAACAGGAAATGGTCAGGAATGGAAAATAGTACAGCAGCATCCTTTAAAATATTCACATGTTTACAATTAAATATTAGCTCGTGTGCATTTTCTGAAAAAAGTGATACGTTTATGGCTGTAGTATACAACCCTCTAAGCAGACCTGTTTCTACTTATGTTCGCGTCCCCGTTCAAGGAAATTCTTATGTTGTTCGATCACTCACTGATGGTATGTATACACATACATTCAATCTAAAATATCATAATATAAAATAAACTAATATAAATATCAAACTAATCAAAGATTAATAGGTGCCACAGTTACCAGTGCTGAAATTAACACTATAAACATATTTTATAATAATCGTAAAAAGAATCTCTTTTATAATAATCGTAAAAAGATAATATAAATTATTTATAATACTTAGACGTTTTAACTTTTAGTTTGAGTCCTTTTCAATGCGACAAGAAACAGATAGGCAATTCTAATTTTTCTTCCATCAATTAATTATACTTACCGTTCAAAGATTTAAAAGCATAACGTTAGAGATAGTAAAAGAAAATAGAAAGAATTAAAAGAATATAGTTAGAAAGAGAAAGACCAGAATTTCTAAAATAGGAACGTAAATATATATTTACAAATTATAAATATTTTTATATCATAATTACAGAAGAATGTAAGCAATATTTTTCATATGAAAAAAATATATCAAGTAATACGTAGTCTTTCTGCTATTTCTACAATAATTAAATTTGCATGGTTAAAGTAAATTTTATTATATGGTATTAATATGGTTATTTTTAAAAATATGTATAAAAAATATATTAATTACGTACATTACTTTTTGTTTAATTTAAAATAATTTTAATAAACTTTTGCTATATATAACATAGAGTTTGATTAAACAGGAGTATATCCAACCGTACAAATAGTACCAATTCCCGAAGGAGTTCAAAAAATCCCAGGAAGAAAGAGCAGCGCGACAAACGAAGTCGTTTTCCGCGCTTTAGATATTCCTCCTCTCGGTGTATTAACTTATGTCATCGCCAAAAAGATACAAGAAAATGTAGTTGAACAACCTCAGTCAGCCAACTTTATAAGTAATGAGGTAAATAGATCCACACAAATGTATAATATAAATCACGTTAAAATATAACAATATTATACACCATTAAAATATTATTTTCCCCTCTTCTTTTTACAAACTAGACAAACAAATAATAGCATATTTAAATTAAATATTAAATTTTATTTAATACAAAGGTGGTTCAAATATAAACAATATTTTTTTTACGTAAAGAGTACAAATTAATGTTGATAGATGTATTTACATTGAATGACAAGTGAAAATGTCTGTTTCACGCCCTACATAGTTGTAGAGTTGCAACAATTATTTCTATAATCGTTGTTGCAATATTCAAACAAATATCTAGTATACCGAATGCCTTTGCGCAACGCGTTCAAATTTATGTTGATCAATTTCTCACGAACGAAAATGTTAAAGCATTTCTAACAGTGAGCGCTTCATACTATTAAATAAAATGCCATTACGCACTTATGCCTTCGATAACAGGTCTATTTTTATTGCTGCATTCTGAATCGATACAATGAATTGAAGTAAAACAAACGTATATTTTTTTCACTTCAATTTGTTGCACTATGTACCAGTTCAAAAAGTGCAACAATAAAAAGCAGATCTAATGTTTCTTCTCCGAAGTGCAGTTTATGCAAAATTTCGACATTTTTTCATTCATAAAACTTGATATCGCCTAAAATTTGATCAAATTGATACATGAACAATTTGATACTATTATTCAGGCATTACAACAACGATTACAGAAACAATTGCTGCGAATGGGAGTCACTTAAGACCGGCCACCCGAATAACACTCATAGAGATAGGAAAAAAATTATCCATTTTGCATACATATTTTTTTTAAAGCAAACTATGTATTTTCCTTCCATCAATCCATTCATTTTATTATTTTGTTCATAAAAGTATTAAGGTATGATTATCAAAAAATTAATAGTTTACGAGTCATTTAATATTTTATGTCAATATATACCAGAATAAAAATACCTCGTAAACTATTGATTTTTAATATCTCTACTTTAGTACTTTTATATACAGAATAATTAGAGGAATCATATTGTATAAAAAAATTATACAATTCCATTTTTAAAAAAATGGAAGTGACCTTCATATCTTTTTGACGCCTCCACCTAGAAGAAAAAAACGTGGTCAAAACACATCTCCCTTGAAACTCTCCCACTGAAACATTTTTTTTATCTCCAAAATTGTGGATATTATTCGGATGGCCGATCTTAAGGGATTTATCCTGTATATACAATTACATAGAGCATAAACTTAGACACTTTTACCAGTCAACTACAATTAGTGTAAGTACATCTACTAATGTTGATTCGTACTTACACAACAAAAGATTTTGTACATATATATATATATATATATTTGAAATACTCTTATAAAAGTTATTAATGAAACATATTCTATATTGATAAATACATAAAAGATTTTATAAGACAAATAATTGACACTTCACAAACTTTAACAAATAATTTTCTTATTTCGATAGTCAATTTCATAATCTTTTTTTGTAACATAATAAAATTAGTCTTAGAGAGATAAAGCAAGTATTCATCAAAAAATCTCGAAAATTACAATTGAATTATTAAGTCAAATTAATCGAAATACAAATTTTTAGTTGTATAATATATCCGTTAATACCAATGGTGGCCTAAGAGTACATTGGAATAAGCAAAACATGAACGTCGTACAATCTTTCCACTACTACATAGGAGCAGAGGGTAATAACAAGAACTTTATTAATAGATCATCCGGTGCATATATCTTTAGACCTAAAGAATTATCGGCCAGGAATTTTGCATACAGTGGATCGTATAAGATATATAAAGGTATTATCAACAGAATTTATTTTGAACCAACTTTATTTCTAATGATATATCATAAATGTATATCATAAATGTAATACTCCTAAAATTTATTTTTTATAGGGCCTGTTGTGCAAGAACTCCATCATACAATAAACGATTGGATTAGTCAAGTAGTTCGAATTTATTCAGAAGAACAGCACATTGAATTTGATTGGCTCATTGGACCAATACCTCTCAAGTATTATCGCAATATTTAATTCTTATCTATGCAATGCAAAACTCTAAAATCTCTAAAATTTAATTTAAAATTCTTTCTCTTTTTTCTAATTTTATAAAATTCTACATATATTCTTAGTAATATACTAATGGTAAAATATTATATTTTCTATTTATATGTATTTAACATTAGTATTTAATATTTTTAAGCTTAATTACATTATATTTTTTATTATATATTTATA